TACTGCTGAGAAGCAAACCACTGCCAGTGCCACTGTTGTGGATCCTGAGTGACTTCCAGGGGCTCCTAGAGGATGCTGTGGGGAAGGCAATGGGTAGGTGCTGCCACCAGCGTGGCAATGAGAACCACTCTTTAGGAACACCCCCTTACAGGTTAGGACATGGCACTCATTGAAGAGAATTGGGTGCCCCTTGCTTTTAACCTGTTTGCCCTGCTGAAGGTTTCAAGGGCTAGATTCTCTGCTCATGCTGCTGAGGAGAGAGCTGCTGGAATGAATTGAATCCCTCTGCCTTGGCACAGGCATGATGTAGGGCAGAGGCCACCCACTGCATGGCTGCAGAGAAGAGCCAGCTGCAGAGGGTGCAGTGCCTCTGAGCTTTTGTCCTTGAAGTGTTAAAAAATGAACCTAGCCCTAGTGTAAATATTTCATTGTATAAAGCACTTTACTACCTGCCACTTCATGGTGCAGGAAAGTCTAATTGTGTTGGGGAAAGAAGAATTTGAAGGTGGCACATGAAAAAAACTCCATGAAACAGAAGCACTCCTGAGGACCCCCCGCAGTTGGACAGCGTTAACAGTATAAAGGGAATGGCCAGCCTGGCACTGGCCACTCAGAATATTTGAGGATGCAATCTGAAAGATAAAATATTTGCACTGAAGTCTCAACTTCAGACCAGCACTTGGACCCCATGGGCAGGACTCCAGCAATAATTTGCAAGCAGAGTGGGGAGAAGAGACTTTGAAATAAAAATGCAATTGCCAGAGGAGAAAAACTTTGACTGCAGGAAAAGGAGTGGATGCAGAAAACAGAAAGGACTTGCATTTACATATCACAACCCAGCAATTCATGGTGGGCCTGGAGTTTATTTTATTTTTATGTTAGTATTTAAAACTGAACATTTTATTTGTTTTCTTCTGTGTTTGCAATATATACAGCCATTATACTTCCTCATTAACACCAGTATGAAATATAGCACAGTTTACTGCGGTTTTCAGCACTAAAATATATCCTTTCTGTAAAGCATCCTTAAACCACATTGCATAGAGTGTATTTTGTTCATGAGTGTGAGGGGAAAGAAGACATACAACACCAGAAAAGTCACTAGTCTACCAACCCACTCTAAGTATGTATTTTTCTTTCAAGGTCCTGTGAACACACACACAAAAAAAAAAAAAAAAAGACGCTATTTTGGTAATTTGTTTTTGTATCTCATGTATGTAATAAATATAATATGATTTCAACACCTTCTTCTCCTGTTACTGTTTATGCCAATGGCAGCAGGGTCTTCATGTCTGCGTGAAAGAGCACAAGCAAAGATTGCACTGGGTGAGGAGAAGCTGCCATGGGGAAAATTTTCCTCTCTGGTTGAGGGGTAAAATGCAACACATGGTAGAAAGCAAAGTGGCATAGATGTCTCACAAAAATTCCATTTCACCTCTTGTTTTGGGAAGTTTATAAGCTCTTCTCATAAGAAGGGGACTTGTACCTAATATTTTTTGAAGCTGGCCAGATCCTTGCCTCCACACAGTCTTGAAGGCTGAGCTGCAGAGCAAGTACTTATAAGAAGCAAGTCGGGGACGGCAGAAATAAGGTTTGTTCCCTACATTTGAAACTACTAAGGGGAAACAAAAGGCTGTGGAAAACAAGTGCTGTGGCAAAAGGTCTACAGAAACACTGCAGAGTGAAGTCAAGCATCAGAAATTAGTGGCCAGGGGGTCAAGACATAATCCACAGTGTGGGCAGCAGCTCCCTGGGTGGGTGGTTAATCAGTGACTGCTGCAGCACCCATCTCCCTGGTGGAGGAGAGTGCAGGGACAGACTCTCCTATGGAGGCACTCGGAGACCAAGAGCCTCCAATAGCTCTGTTTTGATTAAAACCTGTGTGTTTACCTGCTTGACACATTTTTAGCTTCCTTTTATTTTAATGCAACTAAAAATATATTTGCAATGGCTAGATGATTCATATCACATTGTGAAAGCTGGAGGGTGTGATCCCACTGACCCAGCCAGCTCAAGCACTGTAGGAATTCAGGATGGTTTTGTCAGCAGTGCTGCTTATAGAATCTTGTCTGACTCTTGTCCTAGGCTTGGCACTGATGGCTTTATGGAGGAAAGGGGCTAACTTCTGAGGGGTAAATTTGCCCATGAGAAATTTCTGTCAGGGGATTTTGGCTGGAAGAAATGTCCCATTACCAGGAGTGGGTGAGCTGGACATCAAAGAATCACAGAATCGGTTGAGTTGGAAAAGACATCTGATATCTGATATTGAATTCAAGCTTTGATAAATTACCACCTGATCAGATAGATCATGGCACTAAGTACCATGTCTAGATATTTCTTGAACACCTCCAGGGATGGGCAGCCCATTACAGTGTTTAACATCTTACTGTGAAGGAATTCTTCCTGATATCCAACCTGAACCTCCCCTGGCACAGCTTAAGACTGTCCTCTTGTCTTGTCCTCTTTCAGGTGGTTGTAGGGAGAGGAAAGGTCTCCCCTGAGCATCCTTCTCTCCAGGCTGAACAATCCGAGCTCCCTCAGCCACTCCTCACAGGACTTGCCCTCTAGACCTTTTCTATCCTTCTTTTCATATGAGATCACAAGATGGCCAGCCAGGGCCTCCTTAGCAAGAAAAGCTTCTTTGGACACTAAGTCTTTGCAGCTCAGTGAGTAAATGAAAGAAGCCTGCCTGGTTTATCTGTTTACTCCCCTCTGTCGTGTGTATGAGAAGAGGATGTCTGAAGAGTAGATGTGTTGCTTGATGATTCCGAGAGTAGCAATGCCTTTACCAGTCCTTCTGTGTGACAAAAATCAATGGCAGAACAGCACTCACAGAAAGGGCTTTTCTTCCAGAACTGCCCCCCTGAGGCCAGGCTGCCCTTTCTGGATTGTGTTGCTTCTGTCAAGAGATGAGTGCTGGATTTTCAGGAACCAAAGATGGCAATTGCCACAGCTCTCCTTAGAGCATCCTCATGCCGGCCTTATCCCCCACCTGCACCTAAAGAACAAGTACCTCCCTGCTGCTGAAGTAAGCATGGTGGAGTCTTCTTTTTTCCAAGGCTGGAGACCAGATGTAAGCAGTGGCCAGGGATCAGTGATGGGGGCTGGGGCTGCCTGCTCCTGATTGTCTGTCAGCACTGCAGGAGGGAGTGGTGTTGGTAACCTGGGCTTGGCTGGAAGAGGTAAGGCAGGTGTGTTGGAACCAGCTGCCACCACAGCACTGACCCTGGCTATCCACAGCAATATCCATAGCCCCTCCAGAACAGCAGCATCTGACCCAAACCTGTACTCCTCCAAGGCACTCACAGGACACCTCTTTCACTCCTTCTGGTGGACATGAGCACTCCACTCTCTGGCACATGAGCTCTCAGCGGGTGCTTTGGCACAGAGAAGGGAACACCTGGCTCCAGCTAGTTTTCAATGCCTCCTTGCACTCACTCTCCAAGGCAAATCCTGTGCCAAAAGTATTGTCAGGAATAGCCACTAAACCCCTGTGGCTTTCTCCACTGTCCTCTGCCACCACTGCTATCTGTGGAAGAAAGCAGAATAAGCCACACAGATCTGTCCATTAGTTTTCCCTAACCTGAAGTTGGGTTCTTGGAGGAGGATGTACTCAGAGCCACCCCACATCCTCCCTGAGAGGTGGCCTTACACCAGTACGTGGAAGCAGGGTGAGTGTCCCCAGCTGTGCAGGGCCTTTGTGATGGGTACCTCTGCCCAGCCCACTCATCAGGAAGCAGGAGGTGATTAGATGAAGCATCTGCTTTCATTCAGTTAAAGACTATTTTTCTCTTTGGATCACATCAACAGACACTAACCATGCCTACAGGCTCTGCATGCAAGGAGGGTCAGCAGAGAAGCCACCTGCAGGCCCAGCCACATCCATCCCTGCAGCAGCAGCTGGCCAAGGGTCCCCAGCAGCATGGGCCCCTCCCCTAGGAAATGCTACTGATGGGAGCCTCCTCATCCCAGACCAAGCCCTGCTGGGCTACAGAAGTACTGTGCCCTCCTGCCATGGTGAGAGGCTGGAGAGGACTCAGGGTTGTGCTGCCTTCATGTGTACAGGGCCACCCAGTCAGTGATTGCTTGCCCCTGAGGAATGCAATCTTCCAGTTACAGTGGAAAATTACAGAAATGTTTAATATAGTTGCTCCAGCAGGCTAAATCTTCTGGGATATGACCATGTCGCTGAAAATGACTGAACATCTGGGACTACAGGCCTGCCTAAATGGAAATCTGGACTGGTATGGGTAAACATAACAATTCAGGAACAAATAGCTGCAGTGTATTTTTTTTAATCTTTATTTTTAGTTATCGTATTGACTTCAATATCAACACAGGATAGAATAAACATCTCAAAAATGTCCGGTGGCTGCTGCCTCAGCATCCACAGGAGCTCTCTCTCTGATAAGGCTGGAGGGGATCAGCTGTCTGTGGGCCTTCTGGGCTGATGTGTTGATTTTTTGATGATGGTGTTTCCAAAGCATGCTCTTACCCAGGGGTCATAGTTTCTTGCTGCTCTTTTCCCACAGTTCAGCACAGAAACTTCATGAATGCCTTGTATTGCTTCAAGGGAAGGCAGTGATGCCTCAGCAAGGCTCAAAGTCTGGGAAATACACTATATATGGGAAACTTGTAGGCATATCGAAAATGTTAGCATGGCCAAGAGGCCAAAGTGCTGCAGCAGGCATTGGGAGAGCCACTCTCTGTGTCTAGCTCATCTCCTCACTTCTCCATCATTCTTATGTGTCCTTTGAGCAAAAATAATGCTGGGTTGCTTGAACATGTGGAGTATCACTGGTGTGATGCACTCATGAGTACACTTAAGCCCAACCAAATCCTGTTGCCCAGAAAAATGTCATCATGCCCAAGCTTTGTTACAATGCCATATGCAGTTCTCCAAGTATCTCCAAATATCTCGAAGTACTACCTGGACACTTTTCTCACACTTGCATCTGGACCTCAAACATTTAAGAAGTCTCTGTGTGGTCAAATCTGTGGCATAATCTCTGCTTGGGCTTTACCTGAGTAAGACCTGTAGGAGATCAGAAAACATTATTTCATATACACAAAAAGGAGAGATTCACCTCGCCTAAAGTGAGGTACCAGTGGCAGATGGTGGTTGAGATAGGATTCCCCAGTCCCTCCAGGGCTGCAGAAAAGACTGAGGAGTACCCTGAGGGGTCATTACAGCTGCCCACTGCCCTACAGGGGCAGGTGAGGGGGCAGAAAGATGCACAGGTACTTGTGCAGCTTGAGGAGCATCAGCAAGATGCCTTGGCATATAAGCAGGGGATTAAACTAATGCTTAAGGGAAGTTAAATAGAACAGAGGTCCAAGCAGGGGCACTGTCACCTCTGCAGCTGTGGGCACATACAGTGACAAGGGACCCCAGCCACAGGAGACAAGAAAGCTTCAGCATTTACCCTTTGCTGGGTATGGCTGCCTGGACCTGATCAGCCTCTTGCCCTAGAGAGCTACAAGAAGAGGCCATTCCTTGACTGCAGATCAGGTCCTCAAAGGGACTCCCAGAGCTGCTGTTGTGGCTGGAACAGGGAGGCCAAATCAAGGGAGTCTGAACCTGGTCATGGCAACACATGCAGCCTGCAGTTGCCTAAGAGGGTTGAAAATGCTCATGTGGAGCTGTGTGTGCAAAATAAACGTGCCCAGAGCCACTCTGCAATGTAAGCAACCCATGTCTCTGCCACACACATTTTGGGAGGGATGCTGCTGGGGGGTCAGGAGGGGGTGGAGTGGTGCAGGACTGTGAGCAAGAGCAAAGCTGACAACTCTGTGTTACAGATTCTCACCTTGCAGTGCCCGGAGAAGTTCCAGAAAACTGTGTCATTTATTCCCGTGTCAGTACCTCCGCAGAAGCAGCACATCCTGCCCCGTGACTTGGCCCTGGCTGCAGCCAACATCTACAAAGGCAGGAGGAAAAAAACAACAACAAGAAAACAGAAGCCAAGTTATGCAGCAGAGGGGGAATAGAAATATTTCCCTGGTCGCGGCGGGTGACCGGCAGAAACCCCGAAAGGCACAGCAAATACAATGCCCCGCGGCCCGGACAAGCAGCCCGGCCTCGGGGCCCCGAGGAGCGGCCCCGGCGGCGGCGCTGCAGGGACCGGACAGCGGCGGTGCCGCGGGACGCGCCGGCGCTCCCAGCCCTGCCGGGGACATAAACAGGACGCCCCACCTCTTGCAGATAGCCATCAGCTGGACAAGGCAGAAGAGGGAAGAGGCCCGGGCCCCGCTGCGCCCCGGTCACCTCTGAAATGACAAAGCATTGTTGGAAACGACAAAATACAAGCGGCGCTGCAAAGAGCTGCCACCCCGAAAGAGGAGGACACGACCCGTGCGGCTTCTGCCGCAGCCTGCCATGGGGTCTGCTCCCTCGCCTGCGCTCCGTGCTGGTGACTATTCAACACACTAAAAGCAGCAACAGCGGAATTCTTCTGAGCAAAAACTCTTATAATTGCATAATGGCAACTGAGCATCAGTAGGTGGGTTGCCTAAAGCCTGAAGGAAACCACGAGAATTTTTTTCCACCCATAGCACTATTATGAAGCTGACAAGGTCCTGCTCTCTGCAATTCCTATTAATTTTACTGCCTGAACTTCAAGATTTATTACAGCTTTGTCTGACATTCATGGGGCAGACAGGTATTGTTACATGCCGACGTAACCCAGGTAGCAGCCACAGGTTGTTCTCCACAAATGACTGCACTCCAGAGAGCTTTGGAAAACTCCCTGCTTTTGTACAGGGAAATACTAAGTAAATGAGAATCACTTTAAATTCCAGTCTCCCTTTCCACCCTCAGGGAAACACAACACATGCCAGAGAACAGAAATCACCACTCATCCCGTATTCAAACAACAGGCAAGCTTAAATCCTTAGAAATCCTTGAATACCCAGCAGATGATGACATACACTGAGGCTATACTATACCTGTCATTTAAACCCTCTGTGACTTGAAAAAATCAAATACAGTGCAGTTATATTAGCCAGGGGCAAAGGAGGAGTCACCAGCTGGCATCCTCATTCTTTTCCTTTGAGGACTCCGATTTCTCTAGCAGAGTCTTTTTTTATCCTCTATGTAACATCCAAAATAGAGAGAAATCAAAAAGAACTAAAATAGCAACAGTACAAGAAAAAACACCATCAGGAGTTCCTGTTCACAAGGCTACCCTGGCATTAATCTGGGGCTGTTGACATATTTAGTAGTCATCCGGTCTCTGCCAGCTGGATGCCAGCTTCAAACTTGAACTCACAACCGTGATAACTTCTTGCTTCATGTTACAATTCATGCACTGTTATTTTTCCTGCAGTGTCTCAGCAGCGCAGTTTGTTCTGAGGAGTAGCTTATCTGAAGGCATCCTGAAAAATAGACGTACATGGGTAATCTCCAAGCTTCCCCCATCTGGGGAAGCAAGGATTTTGCTTCCACGTTATGTTAAGGAATGCAATTTTCTCCCTGCCACTCACTGATTAAACCTGATTTTAATAATAAACCATAAAGATTACTGACTCATCCTTTCTGTTACTGTTAAGGAAGTGGTCAATTGGTCAATTATATTAAGCATCAAAAAACTCAAAAAAAATGAGATTCCTGTTAAGGGATCCACTTTTCTGCCCTTTATAAACTGAGAAACAACCTTCAGGTATCAGTTCCCAGCCAATACAACATTTGCATGTGTTATAATTAGATATTCATTTTGTTCCTGCTCAAGTTTGCAGTTACGGTACTTTCCACTGCATGCCCACTTGAGCTGTGGGACTTGGCCAATGATTCTGACCTTTTCTCATCAATGAAACACAAGTTATTTTTGAGAGAGCTGGTGCCTCCACATTTTTTTTTTTTTTCTTTGATGCTGCTATGCATCCATGATAACTTTATTAAGCAGAGAGGGAAATAATAACAGTGATCTATTGTAGCATATAGTAGGAAGGTTTGGGATTTTTTTTTTAATGAAAATAGTACACAATAAAATCCATTTTGACTTTGTATCACATCATGTGACAAGAGACTGAACAAACAGAGATAGCTACTGTCCTGAGCAAACAGACACAAAATAACACAGTTAATAAAGTTTTTCCTTGACTTCGTCTCCCTCGCATTCACAGCCTTGGAGCCCTTCAGTATCTTTAGCAGCTGATACGCTGCCCACTGTGCTCACTCAGCGTGACAGTGAATTCCAGATCCCTGTGCCATGCTGTCCCTCCAACCCTCGCTGCCCTGGGAGGGTCCTTCTGGCACTGGTTTCTGTCACATCCTTCATGCAGGAGCAGCACAGGGGGACCTTAGGGTTGCTTTTCTCCCACATTCAGATCACTTTAGCACACATTTTGGGGAACCCTTGTTGTGAGCAGCAGCTGTGCTGGGGGAACATCCCTGCAGGGTGCAGGGGCTGATGGCTGCCGTGGTTCTTGAGTGCAAGAGCAGTACTGGTGCTCAGGTTGAGCACAGGGAGCTTCTCCAAACAAGAAACTGCATGAAACAGAGACAAGAAAGGAAATGAAGTGACAATAATGTCCAAATGGAACTGAGATGGCTGCTTCAGGCAGAAATGTCCCCACTATGCATGAGTACTATGCATGGGCACTGTAAGCTTCTACGAAGAGAGCATCCAAAACTATGCTTTTACAAAGAGAAATAGCAAACATTAGTTGTTGGCAAGGAAGAATCTGTACAAAGACATAACCTGGAAGTGGGCAAAAAAGACAACCACTCAAAATAATAATCACCTCAAATAACCTATCAAGAGCTAGTACTCAAGAACTTGAAAGAGCTGAATATCTGTAACGCTTATTTTGTTCTCCAATACAAATCATCCAGACACATTACAAAACACTGAAATCTTGCAGTTCATGTTTAGTAAGCACTTTCATTAGCAGGTATGGGGATGCATGTTGGGGGATCTCTGAGCAGCAATCTTAGCTCATGTGCTCAAAGATTTGCCTCTTTTCAGCTGTACCTCTTGGTTTAGTAAAAAATGTCACTACTTAATGAGTACCTTCTTTCACCTCTTCCCTTAGAATCGAGGACACAAGGCTGATTTGAGAAGGGCAACAAGGCTGGTGAGGGGCTTGGAACACAAGCCCTATGAGGAATGGCTGAGGGAGCTGGGGTTGTTTAGCCTGGAGTAAAGGAGACTCAGAGGAGACTTTATCACTCTCTACAACTCTGTGAAAGGTGGTTGCAGCCAGGTGGGGTTTGGTCTCTTTCACCAGGGAGCAGCTGACAGAACCAGAGGACGCAGTCTTAAACTGCACCAAGGGAAATACAGGTTGGATATTAGGAAAAAGTTTTTTACAGAAAGGGTGATAAAGTACAAATGTTCTGCCCAGGGAGATGGCAGAGTCACCACCCCTGGATGTGTTTAAAAAAAGACTGGACATGGCACTTGGTGCCATGGTCTAGTTAAGGTGTTAGGGCTGGGTTGCACTCGATGATCTTGAATGTCTCTTGCAACTTAATGATTCTGTGTGACAGCACCCCAAACCTCAGCTCCTTAAAGGCAGACAGGTTTCTGCCCCCACCAACACCAGACCCCACTTGGGCCAGGGGCTGGCTGCTGCCCACAGCCAGCCAGGCGCCAGCTGAGAGCAATGTCCGCACTGGGAATGGCTCCTGGCTGGCACCTCGCCGGCCTTGCTCTGGGCAGCCAAGGGCAGAGCTCAGTTCCTGGGGTTGATTGCTGCACTGAAGGTCTGCAGGGCAAATTGCACCACGCTACCTGGCACTCTGCGGGAGGCATGGATGTGCAGCCATGGGCCTGCAATTTACATTTAAAGAATTAATAAAAATTCCAGGCTAGAGAGCTTCTGTGGAGTTTATAACCTTGACATTTTTTTATCACCCCCTGCCTTGTTTCTTTTTCCCTTTTTAACCAATCCAACCCTTACAAATTAGTATTTGAAAGTATGCAATTAGCAAGCTGCTTCTGCAGCTATGCAGTTCTCCTGCCACCCAGTTTCCCAATGGGGGGAAATCAACAATAAAGAACAAAGAAAAGAATTTGCTGCCTCATATTAATGACTGCTGTTTGAGGACATCATTTGTATTTTAAATGAATAGCTTGCTGAGGACAAAAAGGTCAGAACTGCATTTTACGGTAGCGATAGAATAGCAGGAGGACAGAAGAAAGGCGAAAGCTGTGAGCAGACAGGCGGAACAACACGGTTCTGCTTGCTGGAGAGGCTGGGATCAGCGCCCGGCCACGCTGAGGCCACGCGTTCAGGAGTCAAAATATGGGCACGGTCCTGCAAGGTGATGAGGACAGTGGTGGGAAAGAACACACATCCCAGGCAGCTCAGCGAGGTCTGAGGATACAGCATGTTTCAGACATAGAGCTTAGCCCAATGATCCCTCTCCAAAATCCTTCCCTTCCGCAAAGCCATATGGATTTATCTCCTCGCAAAAGGAATTTTTCTCATTAACTCTGAGGCCCTGATTTTGTACTGTGCTTCAAGATGCTGCCTATGGATACACAAGACCCTGCCAACATTCAGCAAGGAAACCTGTGCCTTTGTGTTTAGTGCAGCTACCTGGGAATGTGTCCTTTGGTACCTTAACATCCTCAAATTGCCTGAAGTGAAATCTAAACTGAGGAACCCAAATGAAATCTGATGTTGATTCAAGTATCCTGCAGAACTCCAGCCCTTATTCATAGGTATTGATCAGCACCTTCCTGAGAACTGAGCCTGCTGGCTCTCTGAAGCTTCAGGAAAAGGTGAGCCAGTATGGGACTATTTTAATTAATGATATGCAATCAGAATTAAATAGTCACACCCCAACTGATGACAAAGCCAGACAGAGAGAAACAAAAAGTCACCCAGGGAACCCTGAGATGGACATTCCACTGGGGTATTACCTGAGCAGCCAACTTATAGCCAACTTCTGCAAAGTTGTTGAGAGCAGTAAAAAGCTTCTCCAAGCACAAGGGCTTGTGCCACTAACCTTTCCTGGTGTGAAGGAGCCCACGGTCCCACTGGGCCACAGGGACTAATGGGACCCCTGCAGGCTATGTCTGGGATGTAGGGCTCCTTGCCAGACCCCTGGGTGAGAGGTGCCACACATGGCACCCATAGGACACCTAACTTTCCTTTGCCCAGGAACATCCCCAGCCACCGGGGCAGCCTCCCCTGCTGCTTTGAACTGTGGCACTGTGGCTGTGCAGCTCTAGCAAGGACCTAACAGCAAAATCATGTTGGTACACAGTCAGAGAGAGGGCAAAATCTGGTGC